TACGGGAGAGGCGTGGTGCGGTCAGCGCAGGAAAGTGCGAATCTGCGAGCGTGCCGCGACCCGAGAGACGTGGCCGGGGCCGAGAGTACCGAGACTGTGGAGACAGCAATGATCCCAGGAGCAGAGGCCGTCCGCATGGCGGGGCGGCTCTGTGCTGATGGGGGCGGTGTGGCCGTGGCAGCGTCTGGGATTTTGGAAGCGGACAAACGAGAAGGGTCGAAGAAGGTTCGAATTGTGTCCAAGAGTCCGGTGTACTTGTATGGCATGCGCCCGGTGGGCGCTCCTGGTGAGCCCGACTTGGCACAGTCATCTTTGTATGAGTTCTTGCGTTACTGGCGCATGGAGTTTGCGGCATTTCCCCGCGGCGGAGCAGACATTGCGGCTGCGGCCAGCAATGACTACTAGGCGGAGTTGACGCTGTCTGGGATTCGGAAGGTCCGCGAGGCAGACCAGGGGAGACCGGGCGCTGACGAAGGGGGGGCCGGGCGGGGGCCAAGTTGAAAGCCGGCGTGGATTATGTGATCAAAGAAGGAGGGGGGAGTGATTCGTGGGTTCAGTTTCCGGATGTGCCAGAGATGGGCGCTCTGAGACACGCGTGGGTGCTGGTGCGGAACGAGCGCCCGAGGAACTTCAATTTTCATGGAGCGCCGCGGCCGAAGCTCGGGGCGGGGGGCGAGGCTAGGAATGGACTCTTGTTGATGGTATATTTTCGGGCGTTCGCATTTCGTGACGATGTCGACTGTGGAGTGCCGCGCCTGCGGGATTTCCGCGGATCGCAGGGGTCGTGGGTGGAGGCGTCATTGGAGTGGTTAAAGAAAGGCATGCCATGTGAAGAAACGAGCTTTGCGTGCAGAACTGCATGGGCGTTGTGGACTTGCGGCCAGGCACGGAGGAAGATCTCGTGAAGCACGAGGGCGAGCTGTGCAGCGATGGAGAGCTGGATCCGAGACTTGTCGATGCGGCGACAAGGCGGAAGACGCGCGTGGGAGGTGCGTCCATGGAGAAAGAGGACAGGCGGACAAATGCAGTTGCAGAGTGCGAGAGAGAAAAGTCGGGAGGCCATGGCAAGGGGCGACGCCGTGTGGGGCGAGAGCGCAAGTCGCAAGAACGGAAAGCGCAATATGCGCGGATGGGGCGGCGCGTTGCGGTGGGGCGACGCGGCAGTTAAGAGAGCGCAAGCGGTGGCCGCGGCGTCGGGGGCCGCAGGGGGCAGCGGCGCAGGTGGAACGGAGGGTGCTCCAGAGGTGGTGGCGGCGACAAAAGCAACGGTCTCGAGTGTGCGGAAGTGGAGAAACGGGCTCCTGGAGAGCGGGTTGAACGCGGGGCAGCGTAGCGTCGTCGAGAAGGTGGCAGATCGAGTGTTGGCGCAAGAGTTCGCTGGTTCCACGAGGTGCAAGACATCGGGCCAGAGTCGTTCTGACATGGGGCCCGTCGTGTGGGTGTTACGTGGCGGCCCAGGGGCAGGGGGGAGTTTCGTGATGGACAAGATCCGGAAGGAGCTATTCGAGAAAGAGCTTGGGTGGACGCGCGGCATCGATTTCCAGGTCGCAGCGTTGCAGGCTACAAACGCCGCAGCGCTCGACGGGGACACAATCCACAGTGCTTTGGGGCTTGGTGCGAACAAAACGAAAGAGTCGAATGCGGCGAGCGATGTGAGCGCAGGCGCGAAAAAGATAAGGAAGAGAAAACCGCGCAGCGTATGTCATTGTGGAAATGGCTGATAGTGGACGAGGTGAGCACGGTCAGCGCGAACTTCATTGCAGAGCTGGGCTCGCGCTTGCGGTCGTGCATGTCAGCTGCAAGTGGCGCGAAGATAAGTGGGGGCGGCGTGGCCAGGCCCTTCGGGGGCGTGGATGTGTTGTTCTACGGTTGGAACCCCCGTCGGGGACAGCCGTAAATGCGCTTCCCACGTCGTGTCTGAAAAACGAAAGGAAGTGCGCGCCGGGTGCCTCGGAGGATCACAGGCAGTATATATGTTGGGGCGTTGGGGGCGAAGGGGGAGTGCAGGGAATGACAGAGTTGGCGGAGTGCAAGCGCGCGGGGGGCCAAGGCGACTGGTTTCTCGCAGTGCAGGGGCAGTTCCGCCGAGGAGCGTTGTCTGAACGCGCGCGCATTTTTTTTGCATGGCAGGCCGACGGGTGCGCCGGGGCGTCGCCAGAAGACGCTCGATATCGGAAGGGAGAATTTATTGAATCCGTCGCCATTTATGCGAATCAGAACATTCGGTGCCACGTCGGAAAGCAGAGAGCTATGCAGTGGGCCAAGGGGCGAGGGGAACAGCTGCTGCGGTTTGCAGCCACGGGCCGCGCTCGCCACGGGGGGGAACAGAGGCGGCCTTGCAGCGTTGGCTGGGGTACCACGAGAAGGAGTGCGCAAGCTTGCCCGGGTGGCTGCCGCTGGCCAATGGACTGCCCGTGGCTTTGGGAGATCACTTGGATCGGTCGAAGAAACAGCTTCTGAGGGGGCGCGCAGCGACGATCCGTGGATGGGTGTTGCACGAGAACGAGGTCGTCTTGGGAGATGAAGAAGAGGAATAATTGTTGCGTCTACCGAAGGTGATTGTGTTGGACTTCCACGCGAAAGAGTGGCACCTGCCAGGTTGGGGGCCAGGCCTGTATCCGATCTTCCCATCGAAAGGGCGAAATTGGTTCTTGGACGGGGATCGGAAGCAGTCTGCGTTGAGTGTGAAGCGCGCCCAGTTTATGATAACCCCGGCTTTGGCGGTAACGGAAGACGCTCCAAGAGGGGCCCGCGACGCCCACAGGGCGCTCCAAGACGCACAGGCCGCTCCGAGACGCACAAGATGGCCCCCAAGACACCCCGAGAGGCCTCCCAGACGCCCCGAGAAGCTCCCACCCAGGAGGGCGCCAAGAGGCAAAATTCGCTCCATTCCCTGAGGGAAGCGTTTGCTTTTCGCATATGTACCTCTTTGGTTTTCACAGCATCCAAGACGGCCCAAGAGGCCTCCAAGACTGCCCCGCAGGCCCACGGGCTCCCAAGGGGCTCCAAGACGACCCGAGAGGGTCCCAAGACGGCCCGAGAGGCCCCCGAGACCGCCCAAGAGAGCCCGAGGACATGCTCCAGAGGGGTCCCATAGGTGGACAACCATATTCACATTCCGAGCTTTCGGCCCCGGAGGCTCCCAGGAGGCCCCAAGAGTTCCCCAGGAGGCCCCAAGAGGCTCCCAAGATGCCCCAATATGCCCCCAAGAGACCCCCAGGAGGCTCTCAAGAGGCTTCCAGGAGGCCCCCCCGGAGGATCCCAAGAGGTTCCCAAACTGCCTCGAAGACGCCGTTGAGAGTCCGATATATGAAAGAGCGTGTTCTACCGCTGCTGGCGGAAAACCGGGGGGGTCACTACCGGTTCCGACCCCCCCCCCTCTGGAAAACCGGAGGGGGTGTCGCTACCCGTTCGAACTCCTCCCCCCCCCCTCCCAGTTCATCATGAAAAGGGGGGGGGGGGGGACGCTGCCTGGTTCGACCCCCCCCCCACGAGCTCGAAAACCCGGGGGGTCACAGCCGGTTCGACCCCCCCCCCCCTCCCCTCGAACACGATGGGGGGTGCGGGCAGTGGGGGGCGGTGGAGGCGGGGCAGTTGGTGAGGGGACAGCGGGGGCATGGAGGAAGGACATGGACAGTGGGTGGGGCGGTAGTGGTGGGGGGCAAAGGTAGAGGACCTGGTGGGACAAGTGGGGGCAGTGGCGCAGTGGTGGTGACGGTGGTGGTGGGGGCAGTGGTGTGGGTACAATGGGAATGAGGTGGAAACAGTGGGACAGTGGAGGGTACAATGGTGGTGGGGACAGTGGTGAAGGCGGTGGCGAGGACGGCGGTGGGACAATGGGACAGAGGTACAGTGGGGACAGTGGTAGGGACAGGGGGGACAGTGGTGGGAACAGTGGGACAGCTCAGTGGTTCGAACCGGTAGTGACCCCCCCTCCGGTTTTCGAGGGGGGGGGGGGGGTTCGAACCGGTAGTAGGCCCCCCCGGACTTCGATTCGAGGGGGGCTGGAGGGGTGGGTGGGGGGGGGGGGTTACCGGGAAGGGAAAGGGGGGGGGGGGGTCCAGCAGAGGGGGGGGGATTTCGAGGAAGGGGGGGGGCGTTAGCAAACTCATCCGTTACTATGTTGTTGGCTTGCAGCTTGGCAATGTATCCTGCCCGAAGGCCAACGATGTGATCAATTACTATTTTGTTGCGGCGCTCTGTGTGCCAATTGAGCTACAGACGACACATGTAGAACATATGGAATGTAAGGACGAAGGGCCCTTGGAAGTCGCAGCCCCAGGGGGGTGTCCTGAGAGGCCGATCAACGAAAAAGGCGAAGGAGAAGCTCCAAAGACAAGGGCGCAAGGGTACCATCGAGAGAACTAATCGTCCTTAGTAAGACACTCGATTGCAATAGCGTGTGTCAGGCCGTCGCTATCAGGCGTCGCTTCCCCTTGGAGATTTCCCATGTGAGCCGCCTGTGATTGATTAAAAACCCACGTACCTTTGATGTTCACTTGACGTCGACACCGTGTTGACACACGAGCAAGTGCCGTCAACGGCGCCAAAACATACCAGACATGGTAAACAACACCTATGGCGGTTTAGTGGATCAGGCGGCTCAAACGGAAACAACTCAAAGAAAAGTTTGGCAAACGAGCCCAGGCCAATTGCAAGCGGCAGGTTAGGATTTCGGGGGCGGGACGAAAGGTTTTCCCAATAGAGTCTGCGAGCGGAACGAACCAGTCCAAACGAGTCCTGCCCTGGCGCGCGTCGAACGCACCGTGCACACAACAAAAAAGCGATCATGCAGCTGACCCTGCTGCCGCGCGCTGGAAGCGGCCGCAGAGTCTGCAGCGGCCGCACGAAGCATCCCGAGCAAGGCCTGCCCACGAGCGCATCGCGCAAACTCTGCAGGCGCAAGCGACGAAGATGACCCCACAACGGCGGTTGTCTCGTGGCCGCGACCATGACAGCCAGGCAACGGGCTCCCCATCGCGCCTGGGCCGACAATCAGATCACGCACCGCCGTGAGCCGCCTCGGAGACGACCGCGTCGCCCTCATTCCAGCGGCCTGCCATCGACGGCTCCTGCGTATCAGGCGGCCCACCGCCTGGCTCGCAGCCGAATTGCTCCTCCTGTGCGATTAACTGCCCGCTGCCCTCGGGCGCGCCGCTGGCTGCCGCGGCGCCGAGCATCCCGCCGCCTTGTCCGTGTCCGCGCTGCTCCTCCTGGGCGCAGGGCGGCCCGCCGCCCTGGTGCGCGCCGCTGGCCGCCGCGGACGCGTCGATATCCAACAGCTTCTCCATATCCTGGGTCAGGTGGCACACCTTCGCCTTCTTCTGGGCCGTCTCAGCCTCGTCCTCATCGCTCGAGCGGCTGCGTTTCGACGCAGCCGCGAACGCCTTGATCGTCTCGCCACCCGCTGCCTTCAAGGCGATGCGGACACCGTGCGTCTCCCAGACGTGGCCGGCCACCGAGTCGAACAGTCCCGCGATGTCGGGCATTGAAGGCATGGCCACGTACATGCCGTCGAACACCAAGCTCAAGACGCACGCTTGCAGCCCCTTGGCAGCAGCAGCCATGCTCTCGAGAATCTCGTCTTCCTTCGTCTGAAGGTACAGCGCCAGCGCCGAGGACCCTGGATGCGCCTTCTGCAACACCTTCTCCATGGATGCAGCCTTGCGGTTCCTGGAAGTCCTCGCGTCGCTAGCGGCCCGTGCCGCCGCGGCGGGGCTCGCCGCGGGGAAGCAGCGAAACCTGAAGCCACGCGCGGTCGGGCAAGCCAGCGGCAACGTCGAATTCCAAGACCTCGCCTTCTTGTAATTGTCACACTCGGCCGCGAGGGTCTCCTGGCCACGCCTGAAAGCGCTCCTCAACTCCATCAGGCACGGCAGCATGTCGTCGGAGCGATCGCCTTCCCAGGATGCATCAGGCTGAATGCTGCCCTTGAACGGCAGCCGCGAGAAGATCGCCTTGGCCTGGGGCACGTCGATGTTATAGTACTGGGCAACGTCGGAGCGCCACTCTTTGGATTTGTCCGCGTACATCTTGACGATCCCAAAGTCACGCTCAATGGCGCCATCCGGAACGTGTGGCCGCAGCGCCTGCAGGAGTATCTGGTAGAACGCCGGAAAAAAAAAAAAATAAAAAAAAAAAAAAAAAAAAAAAAAAAAAAAAAAAAAAAAAAAAAAAAAAAAAAAAAAAAAAAAAAAAAAAAAAAAAAAAAAAAAAAAAAAAAAAAAAAAACAAAAAAAAAAAAAAAAAAAAAAAAAAAAAAAAAAAAAAAAAAAAAAAAAAAAAAAAAAAAAAAAAAAAAAAAAAAAAAAAAAAAAAAAAAAAAAAAAAAAAAAAAAAAAAAAAAAAAAAAAAAAAAAAAAAAAAAAAAAAAAAAAAAAAAAAAAAAAAAAAAAAAAAAAAAAAAAAAAAAAAAAAAAAAAAAAAAAAAAAAAAAAAAAAAAAAAAAAAATTATGGGGGGGGTATTTAATTGTAGTATAGAAAAGAGTGGAAATAGTTAAGTAGAAGAGAGTATAATAGGTGAAAGTATGTGCCCTGGGCCTGACTCGTGCGCGCGGCCGATCTCGTCGAGCTGGTAATACTCGCGCCGAAGGACGCGGATGTCTGGGCACCCTGGCTCGGAGGTCGGGCGGAGAAAGCCGTCCTTCATGGTGCAGGCCTGGCCCGCCTCGTTCAGGAGATCCACGTGCGCGGACAACCCCTCCTGGCGACGCTCGCCCGTGACGGCAGCCCCAGCGTCGCGCCGGGCCCGCAGCGCGGTCAAGTTGGCTGCCTCGCAGACGGTGTAGCGGCACATTCGGGTCGGCACTTCAGCTTCGGCGGGCTTGGCGAGCGCGTCCTCGGCGGGGGCGAAAGCGTCGAGGGACAGGTTGTACGTGTACTCCGCGAGGTCGCCGAACGTGGCGGTGTCCGAGAAAAACTGGTTGTACAGCGACGTGTCGAAGGGGAGTGCGGTCACGCACGCCTGCATTCTCTGCTTGCGTGACTTCGCGGCCCCGATCTGGGCGAGATTGGCCCCGAGGCGACCTTGCGCGCGGACGTGGCCCAGGAGGACAGCCCACCGCTTCGTCTTGGGGGCGGCTAGTGGCAGATCGCACCTGGTCTGATCCACCTGGCACTGCAGGAGGGCGCGGGTCCTTGACGCGTAGAGGCGAGCGTGGATGTCCTGGACGAGCGCGAATGACTCCCCGTTCACCTCGCCCTCGTGAGCGCCGTCGCCGTCCACCCTGCTCCACTCGGTCATCCACGCCTCGAGCCAGTGCGCCGTCGTCTTCGTCCCTGTCGCCGCCAGCTCGTGCAGTGAGAGGCCTCCGCCCGAAGACGCAGATGACCTGATGGTGAGGAGGTTGAGCAAGTGGCCAATCGCGAACTCGGGCCTGCCGATCTCTGCCTCGAGCCCGTGGTCCTTAAGGAAAGAACGCGGCGACGTGGGGGCGTCGAAGGAGTCGCGAAACTTATTCGGCATATACATCGGCAGCAGGCGGTCGCGCTCCGAGCCCTTGGGGACCTGCTCCCACGATGGGATATCGTTGCACGCGAAAATGTAAGTGCACATGGGCTTCATCTTCTCGGTTTCGCCTGAGTTGCAAGCGCGGGCGGTGATGGGATCGGTAGAGTTCCTGCTCTTGAAGACAGCGTTGCTCCAAGCCGCGGAATGCACCTCGTTGCCGAAGGCTACGCGAAATCCTCGACGAAAGGCGTCCGCCGCCTTGTGCTCGTGCTCGGAGCGCTTGTCCGCAGTGAAGACTGTGGCTCGGACAGGAACGTAATACTCCCCCCAGGCAGCCTGGAATATCTTTTCGCAGATGCCCTTGCCATTGCGGCCCCGCCTAGACCACAGCAGCGCGCACTTGCAGAGCGGCGTGCCTTCGAGAAGGCGCGCCTGCAGATGCATCATGTGCTGGAAGTTCTCCGCGTCTGCGTCCCCGAGCTCCTCCGCGCAATCGTCGGGGTGATGGTCGCCCTCGCGCTTATATAGCGACCGCAAGATCGACCATGACCTCTGGCGGTCGCTGGCCGACTCGGATTCCACGAGGTCGGAATTCTGCAGCCACCTGTTGCCGAACGCGACTACCCTGCACCAGTGCCTTGAAACACGCGTTCGCCTTCTCTGTTTCACACAATTATTCCCCGTTTGAACCGCCCGAACCTGTCGAAAACCCATTGTCTTTTATACATTTCCTAAACGCACCGTCGCGACGACAACGTCTACGGGCGCGCCAGCAAGGGCGCAACTTCATGAAACAATGCAAAAACCCATGGTTTTTCAACGATACGGGCGGTTCAAACGGGAAAAACGCTGCGTTTACCCACACCCATCCGCGCATCGTCCCCCCTCTTCCTTTACGTTCACGGCCGCCCGCCTTTGAGGCACGCGAATCGGGCTGCGCAGGGAAGTCATGTCTGTCGGGCGGCCTGGACGGATGGTGTTCGAGCGGAGGTCCACCACGCAATTGCTGAGCTGAAAGAGGTACGGGTCCAAGTCGAACGCGGCCTCCCCGTCGAACAGCATGGCAGATTCTCTGATGATCTTCTCCACGCCTTACTGGCACTCCAGCGCCGCTGCCGTCTTGTCCAGAAACTGCTGCTTGGGGTGGGGGTTGCCATCCTCGCCATCCCCAAAGCATTTCTCTGCGCGACAGCGCCTGGCAACCTCCTGGACCACGGAAAGGAACCTCGCCTGGAAGATCGCCTTGACCCTCGTCAGCGATCGCTTGACAACGCGCCACGTCCGGTCCCACACCCACCAGTCGTCATCGCGGCTGTAGTACATGATCGGGCATTGGTCCCCTTGGAAGAACAAGTAGGCGAGCTGCGCCTGCAGCAGCTGCGACAAATTGTGGTGGTCTGGCAACCCCTTGTAATATACATACAGGAGGCTGGTCTTCGGGGCGTTTGCGTGCTGGGCAAGGAACTCGTCGAGGCGGCCAGTCAGGGACGCATTCGGCGTTCGGGCTGCGGCAGCCACGATGCGACTCCACTCGGCCCGCGGCGGCTCCGGCGGCAACATCTGCGACATGGCGGTGGCCTGGCAATGTATTTGGATATTCGGGTATTCGGGTATTCGGGTATTCGGATATTCGGGAATTCGGGAATTCGGGTATTCGGGTATTCGGGTATTCGGGGATTCGAGTATTCGGGTATTCGGGTATTCGGGTATCCGGGTTTTCGGTATTCGGGTATTCGGGTATTCGGGTATTCGGGTATTTGGGTATGCGGGTATTCGGGTATCCGGGTATTCGGGTATTCGGGTATTCGGGAATTCGGGTATTCGGGTATTCGGGTATTCGGGTATTCGGGTATTCAGGTATTCGGGTATTCGGGTATTCGGGTATTCGGGTATTTGCGCGTCCACTCCACCTCCTCCAATGTCCGACTGCCCGAATACCCGAATACCCGAATACCCGAATACCTGAATACCCGAATACCCGAATACCCGAATATCCGAATACCCGAATACCCGAATACCCGAATACCCGAATACTTGAATACACGGATACCCGAATACCCGAATACCCGAATACCCGAATACCCGAATACCCGAATATCCGAATACCCGAATACCCGAATACCCGAATATCCGAATACCCGAATACCCGAATACCCGAATACCCGAATACCCGAATATCCGAATATCCGAATACCCGAATACCCGAATACCAGATACCCGAATACCCGAATACCCGAATACCCGCATACCCGAATACCCGAATACCCGAACACCCGAATACCCGAACACCCGAATACCCGAATACCCGAATACCCGAATACCCGAATACCCCGAGAAGGGGGATGCAGTGAAGCGTCCGAAACCACAAGCTCAGCGTTGGCGATAGACCACGCCCGGGCCGTGGCGGGGCAGTGGTCCGCGCCCGCGAGGTAGGTTCTCTCGAGCCTTAAACCGCTGTGGCACGGCTCGGGCAGACAGCGGCGCTGCCGTCGCCCCGTTCCTTGTCTCGCCCTGCACGGCGGGGGGGGGGAGAGGGGGGGCGAGAAAATTCAATGTTTCGCGATCGATTAATAGATAGCCGAATGGCAGTCTCGAGTCTCGACCCCGGCGTGCTTTCACTGGAGCACGCGCGGGCGCTTGTAGCCGAAGACTGTGGACATCTTCACGTTCTGGCGGCTGGGCGCGTCGTTGATCCCCTCCCACGTGATCCCCTGGCACTGAGACAACGAGAGCTCCTCGCGCATGTGGCGCTTCACCTGCAGGAGACCGCAACGAACGGTGCCCCCTACCCCTCCCGCCCTGCCCCTTCCGACGACCGACCCCATTGGGCCCGCGTCGCCATCTGCACCGTCGACGACAGCTGCGCCGCGAGGCAGTCGACGAGGACAGCTCCGTCGTTCGCGTTGGAGATCATCAGGAAAACCTCATCGAGCTCGGGGATCGCGTCGGGCAGCTCGACATCCACGGCGATCGGGTCGACGCGCTGCGGGATCACGCGCGGGCGTTTGTAGCCGAAGACGGTTGAAATCTTCACGTGCTGGCGGCTGGGTGCATCGTTGATCCCCTCCCACGAGATCGCCTGGTACTCTGGCGCCGTCAGCTCCTGGCGCATCTGGCGCTTCACCTGCGGGAGAACGCAAGCGAAACCAGTGGCAGCCCGCGTGCCCAAATTCCCCAATGCCCGAATGCCAGGGTAACCGCGTGCCCGAATGCCCGAATACCCGAATGCCCGAACTCCCCATTCCCGAGGCTTGGGGTGCCAGGGAGCGGCCGAACCTCGAGGCTCGAGCGATGGCGATTACTGCCCCCCGTCGCCATCTGCACCGTCGACGACAGCGGCACCGCCAGGCAGTCGACGAGAACAGCTCTGGTGTTCGCATTAGAGATCTTCAAGAAGGCTTCATCGCGCTCGACGTCTGCGAAGAGCAGCTCGACGTCCACGGCGATCGCGTCGACGCACCGCGTGAGCACGCGCGGCATTCGGAAGTCCACTGGCAGCCGCGTCACGACGCCTGGGGCTGGCGGCAGCGCAGCGTTAAAGCGCCAGAACTTCTTGTGGTAGCGCACCCCCAGGGTGATCCAGATCTCGCTCTCGCCCTCTGCGATGCGCATAGCCTGCTTCTTACCGAGGAGGCGCCACGCCGCTGCATCGAAACCGGCATGATCTCCGCGGTCGACAAATGCGAACTCCATCGCTGGGGGGGCCGCTGCCTGCGAGGTAGAGGCTGAGGGTGGTGGTCTGTTCGAGCGCTTGAGCCGCGACGCCTGCTCTTGCCGCAGCACGTGCGCGGCAACGAAACTATCGTTTTCACACCACGATTTCCCGTTTGAGCCGTCCGAACCCTTCAAAAACATTTGCGTTTGGGTACATTTCCAAATCGCACGGTGGTCCGACGACGTCCGCGGAAACCAGAGAAAGACATCCACATTTCAAAAGTGCAAAAAAACCAATGGTTCTACCTAGTTTGGGCGCCTCAAACGGAGAAAACCCTGCTCTTTTTGA